ATTCAGTTAAGTGCGGTAATAGTGTGGTTAGAACTGCCCTACAATACATAAATGGGTCATTGCTTTGATCCTGATCCTCAGGTCAACGAACCCTGCCTGCTGTCCTGGATTGAGAACTAGTGACGAACCTGCCTGAGAGGGTAAAAACACTGATATAATATGTGCGTAAACCATTGCCCATCATTCCACTCGGTGACCTGTGCCGGAAGCTCTGTCTTTCTATCCTATTAGATTTTTGCAGCATGATTTCAACGGATCTTAGGCGTATTCAAAAGAGTGGGATCATTCGTTTAGCGTTTAGTTTGGGCGATAAAAGTTGTTATTTTAAAAGGCCAGCAATAAAGGTTAACAATTTTGTGCCAGCTCATCGAAGCCAGTACGTTAGGGCAAAATAACTTGTTTGGTAGTTTGAAAGTCAGTCATTTTAATATCTTCATTTATCGAACCACACTTTCCATCGTAGTGCTTTTCAGTTGAGCTTCGTTCCACAGAGAAACCATTAAGCAAATCGATACCTTCATCGATTACTTAGCCAACACGAGGTAGACAAAAGGATTTCCTCGACTTACGTTTCCATGTCCTCCTCTTCTTCGGGACCGGGTTTAGGCTGAGATATTCAACGAAATTCGGAACAACAGCCACTTCAACGGTGATGATTTGTAGTTTCGGACCACTCATTTCATGGAATTTTTTATCAGTTTTTCCCACCTATTACCATACTCGTTCTGACAAAGGAAAACTCGGCGACGTCGAATACTCACTCATTTAAGCACACTCGAAAGCTACACTGGCAGCTGTGGAAACCAACATAAACGATCATATTCATCATCATTAAAAAACTGCATCTTGCCAATTCGTTTATTTGTTGCAATTCAGTGGGTGACATCACAATGCCTACACCTATTATATTTGGACTGTTTTTTTTACTACAAATACGGCCCAATAAGAATCTTTCATCCACGCGAATGACTACAGTTTCGCAGTAGAAAAAGGATCAAAGGATAATGCATTTATTGTTATTTGAAGAACACATCCCGCTTCAACAAGCACATCAGAGCTCACATAAGGCACGTTTGGGCCACATAATGTCTTGCAATAGCCTACCGATATACCAAGTCAATGCTTTTGTATTCCCAGACAAATCAGCCAGTATTTTTCCAAAGGAGAGACGGATCGAGATGGAATAAACGGCCACTACGTATGCTCTACAATAGCAGATATTTTGTTCAGTCTTTTTATTCAGGCGTGGGTAAGGTTGTTGTTTTTGCAGCACAAATTCACTGCTTTATTGACGAAGAAATGGCCGCAACCCACTTTGACAATCCCCAACAAACCGAAATGCGTAATATACCAGTGGCAAATTTAGTAGGTGACCGAAACATAATACTTTGAAGACACGGAGCCAGCAAATGTCTAGGTCAAACTAAAGCTGAGATTTAAATAAAGACCAATACAAACTTTAATCCGTAAACCAAAGATCGTCTGCGATTGTCCATAGAAATAGATGAACTAGCATTGCCATGAATAAAGAAAGCGTGATCCAGCACCCCTGCTCTTTTCATCTCAACAGTCAATTTCAATTTTGCCTTGAAGAACAGTATTTCACAGAAACGATGGGCTGATTAGGAAACGTAATTTCATTATTCCAACGTCATTGCTGTTCCACATATCGTTAGTTTTATCAGAGGGCCCAAATCAAAATTGTGTAGAAAAAAGTTATTTTTTAGTGCTAGTGATCACTCGTTTCAAGGCAACACTTGTTGGAGAGCTTCAAGGGACTCATAAATCAACTAACAAATCAAGACCAATCTTCGTCAAAGTAAGTACTATCTACCTAGCATCGTACAGACGTAAGCCTTCAGCACTTTTCACGTCATAAGGTTTACTATTTTCAGAAATTTTTAGTTCTCATCAACTTTCGTTGTGCTCATAATAGACGCAATAACAGGAAGCTTATTTTTGGAATGCTCATATCAAAAAGCGATGAGACGGCCTTTGAAAAACATGCAAGTCACAAACGCCTCGTATCGGTTTGTTTAATTGCGCTGTAAATATGCGGCAGATCCAATCTCGTACAAACAAGAAAGCCACTAGAATTCAGGACGTGCAGGATCGCAGGCAGAATCTGACGGTACTAGCAGTGGTTCAGTCCGTTGCTGACAGAACAAACTAAAACTGCAGACTTATTTGGTGCTATCCTGATTCAAATCGGAAGACAGAAACGCCACTAATGGTAACGCAGCATTTTATTTCCTTTCTAGAACGAGAAACCTCATTACAATGATAATTGAAGTTGTCAGCGATAGCTTCCGAGTTCTCTACAGGTCTCCAAGAGATTACATCTGCCGAGCACAAATTCTATGTAAGTTTTCGTTTTCAATAGTTTTCCTCCAACTTTCCACTTGTAGGCCAAAAAACCGCTGAATAAAGCCTTCTATATTTTTCATAAGGTTGAGCTCACGTCTGTAACAAAAAAGTTGTTCCGAAATTTTTCGCGTTTATTGCATTAAATAGTGATATTTCGTAAATTTTATGGAAAATGCCATTCAAAAACATTTTCGTTAGCGCATAACGGGCGTAGTTCATTTTTTCCAACCATCATCGGCGCCTCGAATGGCCGGAATGACCTTTATACGGCTCGTTTTATTCCCGATCGTTTGTTTTAGTGCACAGAAGCCTTTTCCTATACTTCTTTCTAACAAGCGATAGCACATCTAACATAGATATTGTGGCGTGCCTCGGCTGGACAAAGCTCTATTCTGCACTTGGAAATACGCAAAAAATCACTGCTTGAACTAGTTCGGTGACGGTTATTTAACCAGCAATCCACTGTTACTTTACTTCGGAGATGAGTTATGGAAGGAAAAAAGCGCAGAAGGAGTCTTAAGGTACAGAACACTTCCGAATCTTGAAAGTAATGTTTTTGTATGATGGTCTACAGCAACATTTAGTAAATAGTAGAATATGTACTGTTCATAAATATAGAGCCATAGAGCAAAGCGTTTTCTGCTGTCCTTCATGGTCTCATCCTTCAAGCCTTCTGGGTTCCGAACTGTTATCGTCTATTGTTAGAAAACCAACTCGCCGTAACAGCCCAAAATCGGCGTCGTGGCATGGATGTTAAAAACCGAGTGCATCTTGTGTTCTAAAAGTGCTCCTTTTGTTTTTTTTTTATTTTATGTAGTATCAAAATCTTGTATCGTCGTCCCTACAACAACGATTCTTTCAATCTTTGCTACACGTTGTCAGAAATACGAAGCATACTCTATACTCTATGCTCTAGTGTTTTTTAAATGTTTTATTTACTCTGCAAGATAACCGTGAAACATAGTAGTTATTTGGAATAAAATAACCATGGCCAAAAACTGAATTGCATAGGGCTTAAATTACAACGATAAGAGATGAATTATGCTTCATTTTCAATTGAGTGCTTCCAGAGGGAACCGAAGAAATCACCTGTGTTACCTGTCGATAAGGAATCTAAGGGGTACCGAAAGATTAGAGCGAAATTGAGAGTGATAAGCAGGACCGGAAACGACAACCGCATAAGATTTCGGTCTCTGCAAACTGTGTGGTGGATTCCTATACACTTTTCCTTACAAACATTCTCATATAGTTCTCTATATCCACTCATACTTGTATCTATTCTGGTCATTTGCCATAGTTTTGGGCTCAGCGTCCCTTCTTTCTCTGTCAAGATGGAATCTTACTCTCTTTCCTTTAAGGGAAAGTCTACGTAAGTTCTCCTTTCTTTTCCTTATGTACGTCCACTATTTTCCACTTTATAGCTTAGTTATGTGTTACTTTGCTTCCACTCGATTAAAGGGACAGATCTGATGAACGATTTGACAAATCTACTGTGAGAATCTGTAGAAAGTTTTCATAAATGAAGTAAAGGTCTACTTGTATTTCAGCTTTATTCTAGGTAGTGAAATTTCCTTACCTTTGGTTATTCGAGTACAAAGTGTACAATGTCGGTGAAACGCTGCGGAAATGTTAGGAGCTCAGAATATAAAACCTTTCCGAACAATCACTATACACGTTTATGAAGACCCACAATGTGGACATACATCACTTCTACATAACATTTAGACGTCTGTCGACAAGCTCTCGCAGTCACACAGCCACCTGCCGAGAAAATATTTCCCAATTTTCGAACTTTAGTGAGGTAGCAAAGCACATGTGAGTGCGCGACGTGAAATTCGGACAAGTGAACTCGTCCGAAAACTATTTCTTTGTAAATTAATAAGTGTTAGGCGTTGTTTTTCTCGAACCACGCCTGGTAGAACATACGCTGGTATATGCTATTGAAAGATTATTAAGATGCAAGAAGGAAATTCCTTGTTGCAAAGCAGACATTCGGAGAGAATATGCATTCGAATCAATGCATATGCCTACTTGTGAGCTAAAGAAAAGCATAAAAATCCAATAAGAGCCTAGCAAGAGACAAATGATTGACATGAGAACCAAGGAAAACAAAGATTTGACGTAAGTAACTTTATTAGTCTGCAATACCCAAATATGGGAGTATATTTATATACACATAATATACGACTGGAAAAATTACACTATTGTACTCTCGACCAAAATGGTGTAGCGGTGATGGTGGTTGAATGTGAGCACGTGAGTCGAGAAAAGTAAACACAGATGGCAAAATCTTTACAGAGTTCTCAGACTCAAATTAATCTAGAGAGGAAAGTGAAACAGTGAAGAAAAAAGGCATCACAAAAACAAGAACGAACCATTGGCAATATTAGACCGGTATTCGAACGACAGACCATCTTCGTTGTGACGAAGATGCGTCAGAACTGAGAAGTTGATTAAAAGTACTAGAATGAGATGGATCCAATAACACTGAGACTGAGAATCTAAGCAACAGTGGTCAACTGAACCGGGGCAAACAAATACGGGCAGATTTGGTCTCGAATGCCGATGAAGTGAAGAAGACGTTACTAGATGAGACGTTTTCTGTACAAGTATTTGTATCATCTAAGACAATTCTATTGTTCCCTCCATTTGGTCAAATCAACTTTTGGAAGGTGATGACAAGGCGACAATTGTGGACCGGGCAGCAAGAAGGCGTCCTGAAGTATTAAATTTTTCTCAGATAAAAAAAAACGTTAAAACACTTGAATACCTGGGTTTCACATGTAGAGCAATGTCAACCATTTTATAAGCTCTATTTGTACTTTGCTAATGCTATTCAAGGAGCCCTACCAACGTGCCACCGCCTCATCGTGGCTAGGTGTTCCTGAGTGTCGAGCTGCGATCTACAGCGGAGGGGATTCATACCTTAGTAGGGTTTACCAAATTGAGAAGGAGCCCGACGTTCCATCAGGAAGCCTAGCTAAGAGTAAACCAATACCAGGGCCTACCACTGTCCTGATAACAACCTAGCCATATGGTGCCAAGTCTCGCTCTGATCCATAATGGCTGCGACTGCCTGTGGTGGTCATGACCTAGGGTAAACTTTGGTTAAGCTGATCTCGGCCTCGAGGTAAACACAATAGCTAAACCGGCAAAACTCTGAAAAAGTGGAGATTGAGCTGGGGCTCGCATAACCGGTGAGGGCGGGCCGTCCATGTATCCAAAAGTATTCAAGGGGCTGATCTATTTCATTTGTGAGCTCAGCCATGGCTTGAGAGTCTTTTATCATTCTCCCTTATTGAAATCCTGAGTCCTCGTAGTTCTATCTGAAGTCCCGAAAAATCTTTTCCAGGGTATTCTCATGACGATATTTCTTATGGATCGTCACCACTAGGTTTCCTTGAAGGAATCGGCAATTCCTCGCGCTATTTCGTTCCAGCTGCGGGTTCGGATGCACGTTTCATTATTTTTGAATAAAAACACTAACGTCTTCCACAGTATGAGTGACCGTAACTGAACGACGGACCCCATGCTACCTATCGTAAAGCTCTATGAATCGTGATGCATTGGGAAGATTTTCCCAATCACTAATAAAAAATTGAAACAAAACATGTGGAACCTGATAGGAAGGCCGTGTGCCGACCGTTATTGTTAGAAGTCTAAGAAATTTCTTACTCTCCTTCTATGAAGGAGTTAACAAGGAAGAAACTACAGAGATAAGTAGGATAAGGAAGTGTTGAAACAAAAACGAAAACGAAAGGAAAAAGCCACGAAGAAGACAGCTACTCACCTGTGATATCAATTCAAAGTGATCACCATTGTCACATATAACCCGTGACAGTGATGATTTCCGGATTTCGACCCGTTGATCTGGCGTGAACACTCCTGGATTTTCGAAATAAAACCTGCAAATATCTGATCTTCCACGTTTTTCAGTAGGGGCAGCGACGAAATTCCTAGAAAGTTACGCGTTGCGATTTTAAAACCCCTTTTTAAAAGCGATTCAGCGAAAGATGGACGAAAAAGGATTTCTAGAGAAGAATGAAAATGCAAAAGAATGGAATAGAGGGACACTGACTAGCTCAAAACGCAAGTAGGATAGTGGGTTTTCTGCTGTGTGGAACAACAATAAATCCGTAATTCTGAGGTCTTTGAATAAAGTAGGCATTGGGGTTTCGAGATGATGTGGTATTATGCGAGAACACTGAACCTCTGAGAAAGGTGAATTTGTAGGAAAGTTGGTTTTTGCAAGGCAGAGATTGAGAAAAGAGATCTTTCGACATGTTAGGGTTTTTCTGTGTGTCACCATACGTACCGTCATTCACTTATAACACAGCCAACATACAATTCGCATACAGGCTAACTTCTATGACCCTATGGATGAGCCCTGACCTATCGCCATCCCTGAGTCGCTTGAACTGCTCGCCAATGACGCAGCTAAGAGTGGTGCCTACGAGACCGCCAATCACCGGATCTTCGAGCATCGATCCCACGTAGAAGTCAACATCGTCTGAAAATAGAATCATAGACAAGCATCTATACGTGGCATATTAGAAGCTCAGTTGAAAGATGGTGATTTCCTCATCCGTGACCATCTTCACAAATTTTTCTAGTTCGTTTTTTCAGTAATCACCCATTCAGGGGTGGAAATTTATTCCCCTTCAGCGTAACAGGTCAATAAATTGTTTGGAAAAGAAACTCTTAATTTGTAGATTATATCGTCCAACCTTTCACTGAAGCCATCAGTAAGCAACGGCTTACCAGTTGTATTATAGTTCCGACTTAGTCCAATTCGTAGATTGCGATCCAAAATCATATCAGAAAATTCATCAAATATTCTAGCTTTCGGTAATCCACAAAACGTTCTCATGGTGTTGTAGGATGGAATGCCATGATCACGACCTCGTTGAATATTTAAAGTACCAAGATCAGTACTAAAAGTATCTAGTTCAAAAACCAGAAAAAAATGCTGGTATGGTGAACTGGCCAATAGCCCCACTTTCCGAACATTTTCTCCGTAATAGCCGGCGTCATACGATGTGGTCGTTTAACGGCGCTGCTCATGAAGCCACGAAGAACCGGATCGACACCGCCTGAACAACAAAAATTGCAAGATTATCAAAACTAGGAGAAGATTTTCTCACCGTGAACAGAAACGGATGAAGAAGCCCTCTTTTTCAGCTTTTCATTATCTTGCACGCGTCCATTTACATCTTTATTTTAGAATATACGCACAAAGATTATCATTTGCTCTATCGATAAATTCTATTGAGCAACGAAAGTTCAAGCTCTGAATTCTAGCAGTTTACATAGACCCTGTAGTCTTCTTGGTTTGATGAAGCTCAATACAATACGCTAACAGTTTGGATTCTTAGTAATGTGGATACTGAACACTTGTAATCTATATTGGTTCGGTTCCTCACCTTCGAGTAGCCAAGCAAGCCGTCCTTCTGTTACCGTATTGGTACATATCTATTTCTGAGGATAAAAACACTGATTTGGTCCATCGGTAGGCACCCCAAGTCGTCGTGTTGGGGAATATGTTAGCCATATGCATCCAACCACATCCACGATGATACGAATGGATTAGAATGCATAATGCATCCCAAAGGAACCGCTTTGTGCCGAAAGCTTTGTCCTCTCTAAGCTTTTAATATTATAGTTGCCTTTAACCCTTAGGATAGCTTCAAGTTTTAAATGAAGTTTCTTTTTACTATTGACCGTTTTCCACTCTTCCTATCGCTAATTTATTTGTCAGTACGTGAAGCAAATCCAAGGTTACCTTTCCCCTGTTTAAAGATATTTCCCTCCGGTTTTTTTCATTTTTAAGGTAGAACTAGTATTCCTCAATCATTAACCACTCAGAGGGTTGTAATAGTTAGATAAGAACATGGTAAAACAGCTGGCAGCGATCACCGATCGTTACGAAATGTTAGATTATTGTAACTCAATCAGAATGCAAGAAGAATAATGCCGAAAGTTTTCCTTGGAAAGACGACAGCATTCATGAAGGCCACACCACACATACTTAATACGGTGGATTCAACAATTGTAGGTGAAGCAATGGAATCTATGAAAACGTTAAGCACTCTTATTTGTCCCACTAGAATAGTTCAGACTTAATGTGCGAGGTTCGACGTGCTTCATTCCCTCTACATTTGTTCATAATCAGTGTGATGTTAAATGAACGAGAAGGCTACACACTTAACAAACCACTGTGATTTATCTTAACCTATGTCTAGAGCAATAACTAAACAAATAGCTGTCAACGATGAAGTAGTTATCGATTCGTGCATTTTCCTATTGTTTTCTCCTGGGGAGGTTTAATAATAACCAGATTGACTGTGGATTTACGCCGATGAACATTACAACAAGTCTTGCAATTAAACAGATACCCTCAGGTTTTCATACTATAAGGAAAAATACCGAACCTTCGTAGTTCTCGTTAATACATTAGGGAAGGGCACGTGTGGGGCAGTGGTCGGGGGCACCCGGCGACACACACATGGGATCGATCTCGCACCAGTGGCTCACCAAGACCTCCATCCCTCCGGGTTCGGCAAATTGGTACCAGAAGACTTGTCTGGGAGGATAACAGCACTGGCTCATCGGCGATACATCGGCAGGCCACCGCGAGTCATTGTAAAAGACAGATTTGCATTTAATCACCTCTAACGATACTTAATGAAGTCGAATGCATGGCGTATCCCTCAGGGATTAACCCTTTAGCCGAGAGCTTTATCTTTTTATTCTTTATATTAGAAAAGTGACTGGCATTAGCTAATTCCCACACTGCACAAAATGGATAATTAAAGATGAAAAAACATCTACTTGAGAGGTCCTTTATGTGCGTATTTACGTATACTTTGTTCTCCTCCCATATATATCACCTAAGTGCGCTTTCCTTCTGTTCTGATCCTTCCGAAATTCCTTCTTTCGTTCATTCGCGAATTCGCGTTTTCCATTCTGGTTTCTTTTCATTCTCCTTCGTTAATCGTTTTGTTCTTTGTTTCTTCACTTTTCCAACATTCCTTTTTGTTTATTCAGATGCTTTAATTGCCTTCCATTCTTGTTATGTGCCACATCAACACTAAAATTTAACAATTTCTCTATTGGTTGCAAAAATTTAACTTTGAAATCCCAACTGTACCCTCTTTTCTTCGGTTGAGGCGACAAAACTCTTTCGTACCGCGCTAACTATGTTTGATTTTTTGGTATGATAGAATTTGTAAAGAATGTGGAAACGTAAGGATATGAAGAACATCGCGTGAAGGTCAGTGGTTCTCGGTCAACATCACGACTTGCCTTTCAATTTAATGATTGCCATCAGAACCGGCCACTCCCAACAAATACCACTTACTCCGAAAACAATGATAACGTGAAATAATCAAAGGAAAAACAAAACATTCCATATCGAACCTTCCCATAGAATCTTGCTTGACTTGAACACACCCTCAGCGAAAAAGAATCCACCATGTGAGATGTTTCTACCGGAAAAATCGAGACGCTTGTAGAATTCCTAAACGAATTCTTTAATCATAAACTGATATTTCCATCCTGAAAAAGAGTGAAGAGCCAAATTGCTCACTCCGTTGGTCATAACTCTCAGATTTCCAAGAATATTTCGACGTTTTTTCCACTTTCAGTACTTAGTTTTGGCATATTATCTGACAAAATTGTTTTCGAATGACTACGATCACTTTAATACAAATAAATTCTTTTCGTTGATATCAACGTGTACTCATAAAAGGAAAACATAAAAGAAAAGAAACTACGATGATCACTGGATAACTTCCAACTAGCAGTGCCAATGTGCCATTCATCCAGCCTGCTAGTGGTCAGTGAGGAAAATGGCTAGGTCGAAAAGCACTGATCAAAGGCAAAAGAGCATTCTTCGCATTGCTACACTCAAAGATTTACAATTTAAAAAGCCACTTGTACTAAGGTCTTTCTCAGAAAGCGAAACAGTTAAAATTTTAGTCGAATAAAACCTATATAGCAACATCATAGGGCGCGGGTGGCGTAGTGGTCGGAGGCACTCTGAGACACACATGCGGGATCGATCTTCGCACCCAGGGCCCAGCAAGCCTTCCATGCCTTCGGGGTCGGCAAATTGGTACCAAACTTGTTTGGGAGGGTAGCAGCGTTGGCTACATGCATCAGTAGAGTATCGGGGTCATTGTAAAGGCGAGGTATGCATTCAATCACCTCCAAACGATGCTTAATGAAGTCGAATGCATGGCGCATTCCTCAGGGATTGAACAGCGCCGAGAGCTTTATCTAAATAATCCAAAGAGTTTCTAAGAAAGAAACTTTAACTTGGTGATCAATTTCGATCTCTATGTCGGTTCCTAAGAATAATTTGCTCTTCTGTATTTTCTATAACATCTCAATTTTGCCCACATATATTTTTTTTTACAGTTTATAAACCCGGACTAAGTCTAGTTCTGCAATAAAATTAAAATTCATGTCAAAAATTTCAACTGCTCTTAATGATGGACGGCTTTTTAAGCAGCGAATTTCAGTTCACTGCTAACTTTTGGTGTTAAATCGGGCGTAAGTATTGAGGAAGAACTAACAGGTGCTCATTCACGCAACAGAAAACAGACCCAGTGAAAAATACGAGGTAGTAAAATTCCAAGCCGAATTGACACCCAGAAGTTCAATACCGCAGCCCAGTGCACTTTTCCCAGTATTCCTCACATGAATTTGCTTAACATATTCACATTAACTGCATTTTGAATGGACACTAGATGAAGAGAATGGGAAGCAAAGAAAAACTCCTCCCACCAAATGTACACAGTTTCCAAGCAAATCAAATCAGAATCTTGTCCTTTCAGAAAATGAAGTTTAAATGCTTCAAGGCGGTACTCCACTCGAAAGACCGTTTGTGCAAAATGCGGAAGAATAAAAAGCGAAAAATGGAAAAGGAAAAAATAGAAAAAAATAAGGAAGTTAATGCCTTCACCTCAATCATACCATGTCCGAAGCGGAATGCTGAAGTGGTGAATTCATTAGCGATAGTAGGGTCAACGCTGCTGTTATAACCATTGTACCCACCGATCACCTTTGAATGAGCAACACCAAGTAGTTTTGGCAGATATTCCTGCAAAAGGTAAACCTATTCAAGCTGACAAGACCGATTTGAAACTTTCTTCATCACTTTTATTTTTCTGCTTATTTACTCTATTTATTTGTTACGACAAGAAATAAAACGAAAACAACGAAACATGAAAAAGGAGAGGTAATCTGGTACGGAAATCATGCGGAAGAACAGAACAGAAGACGCTAAGCCACTTTTTGAGTGAAGAAACCCGTTACCTGCTACTGAGTGAGGAAAATTCTAACCTACTTCTGAAATGAGATGAACCGCAACACGCTTTTGGAAGCAGGATAACCTCAACCCACAACAGAATGAGGAACGGTATAATATAAACCGCTTTCAAATGAGCTTCTTACCTTATACAAAATATTTTGAATGACTGCGCCAACAATTTTTCTCGCCTCTTGGAATACTCGATCACCTTTCCACGATCGATTCAAATCCTGAAGATGGCGTGCTACCCTGAAACATAGGGCTATGTGAAAAATTTTGTAAAAAACGCACTGAATTTCTCTACTGCACTTGGAGGCTTGGACCGCCCGTCCTCTCGGGTTGTGAGGGCTCCAGCAAAATTTCCATTTTTTCGGAGTATAGCTAGTTTAGCTATTGTTTTCCTAGTTTAGTCACAATTTTTTTCTCCTTTTGATTTGTGGTAATTCATGTTTTCATTTTCAGTATGCCCTCCTAAAAATTTTCGATAATTGTATGCGTTTTTCCATAGAAAGGACACAGCAGATTTATTACAGGAAACGATCTTAAAAAGTGCTAAGCAATGAATATTTTATTCGATACACAAAGTGGTTTAAATTCCTCATATATAGTACTCGCAGATTCTTCTTTACAGTGTGCGACGCAAAAAACTACCTTTCTTGTAGGTTAAAATTAGAGCGCAGAGAACCAAAATATCGTTCTTTTTCGTTACAAAGCTAATTTATATCATTCCCCTAATCAAATTCGACAAGGTGAACGAATAAGCCTAAATAACCAAGTCTACAACAGTTCCTCTTACCCTAGCCTTAAACACTACCTTAAAAACACCGGAAAATTGTAATCGATGAAGTTTTTAAGCGTTTGGCTTCATTTTCCAGTTATTTGCACAGGAAACGTCTTGTCACATAAACGCTGGTGCCGTTGATTTCTTTCCTTCTACAGGTACTGGTTGACGGTAACGACGTTTTTCTTCAATTTCGGACGAGTTTCCTAATGATACCGTTTTAATAAATGACATGATCTTCTGTTATAAGATTTGCTGCAGTAAATTCTTAGTTTCTTTACAAAATATACAAAAAAATTTTCGATACCCCAAGGTGATCGTTTTTGCTTAAGGGAAACCAGGACGACTATACAGTTGGAAATTCTGTGAGGCTCTTACTCCACAACGAAAACAAAAAAATCTTCAGGTGTCGTGTCGATGCTGATCCGGCAGGATCGATATAAACTTGGAATGAACAGAACTTGATCTTATAAAATGAACCATTTACTACGGCTTTGCCATGGACTCTGAAATAGATGTTGCAACTTCTATATTTTCAAGCATCGAGCTATCTAGACCGCCACAGAAATAAACTAGTTTCTCATTGAAAAAGCAAGTCGCATAAGCTCATAAATGTAAGTACTCATGTTTTGATGTCATCTTGTGTTTCTTCGAGAACGAAACTTTTTGGCCTTTTGAAAATAAATTAACCATTTTATTAATCGCCTACCCGCCGTTCATTCTTAGATCCATAAAAAAAACAACCACCAATTCGCTAACAAAAATCTGCCTCTGATTTGCTGGCTGGCTACAGACTGAACAGCAGAGTTATAAAACCATTGCAATTTATACAAATAGTTCTTGAAGTATCATGCAGTTCTACTATTAATAATAATCTTTTCGTTACTATGCCAATGTGACGACACATCTAAACCATATACGGATGTGACAGGCTATTGATAAAAGCTTGGGATAAACAGTTAAATCACATAGCAATTCCCAAGACCGATTTTCTATTAACCTCTGCAATGATTGATATTTCGCTGTTTTTTCAATAACCAGACACGAAGTTGGTATTCTAGAGTTTATTAGGATACGGTACGTGACGTTTCGGCGGTTTCGCCTTCTTCAGAGCTTAGAAAGGTCTTCAGACCAGGCGCACTGCTTCAATTTCAGCGAAAACATCCAAAAAACCGAGGAATTAGTTGGTAGCGCTACGGTAGCTGTCTTATGTATCTTCATTGTCCATCGCTCTTTTTTTTAACACGGATAGGAAGAATATAATCAATATAATTATTGCAACCTAATGGCAAGGTGAATAGAAAGTCGATCTTGGGAACTGGTAAGCAGGATATGTCTATTGCCTTATGTGTAGCCATTCAGCTTATTTCACTCCATTAGTGGACCTACTAACCGACTGGCCGATCAGCCGCCTGTTCAACAACAACCCGTTCCTTCGGTGCTCGTTCTTCAGCTGTTTCTTCGCTTGTTTGTTCGACCCACTTAGGCAATTTCTCATGCGAACAGCCAAAAGCCTGTACAACGGAGATTTTTGAGTTCCGATTGACTTTCGTCATCCGACGACGATTCGCCCCTTCGAACATCAAGCATCGGCATGTGAGAAGTCTAATTATTTCGATTGAAAGAAACATCAGCGAACAAAACTAGGTCATGATTAAAACATTAGTAGTGTGGGACATCGCTATATTGATTTCAATAGAGTGGGGCCGACAAAAACCTATGGTGCTTCCAGTTTTCGTAGGTGTACGACAATTGTCAGTCAGAACGCAAGTAATGAATGATGTTGTTAAAAAAGTTATGACAGAAATTTTAGTAATGGAATGTAGCGAATCCAGAAAACGTTTTTAATGAATAAACTCTAAAACTGAATCCTTCCTAAGCTTCTTCTTGGAAATAAAATGTGTATATATCTTTTTGTCATTATACGTATTATGCTTATATTTACATCAAAGATGTTTAATTTTCAACTCAAATACCGAGTTCTCCGAGTTAAGAACCGTCTAGAAAACCCCTAAAACTGGCTTCCGGAACATGGCCTTGCCACAATAACCATGATTCACAGTATTTCAACCGAAATCACACTTCCCATAGCTACCCTACAAGGAGCTGATTTGTTACGATATCAAAAGATGGCCGTTTATTTCTTCTATGGGGCCTAGATGAAAGCTGGGTAGACTAGAATTTCATAAACCTTTTATTTTCCTCAGTGGGAACGTGTTAGCTCAGCCTCCAAGATTGGAACGAGAATCGACTCATCCTGCGTTCTACGCCATCCATGAAGAAGATGAAGTCCTCCCAAGAAGCGCCCGAAAAAACAGGCGAAATGTTCGGAGACCACTGTGGACGATGAATGCAAAGAAAGCGAATCGAATGTAATGAGTTCTGGGATCTGTATTGATGACGGGATGACACGTCATGCAATAGTAGTAATTCGAAACTATTTTCCCCACTTTGCATTAAGACGTGGTTTTATACTCTTCGCTGACCTTCCAAATATGAACGTTGAACGCCTACACAAACTGAGAGACCTTGTTGAGGAATGAGTCTCTCACTGAACATCGCTGTTCGCTCCTAACACCACACCAGTCCGATTTAAATCACTCTAATACTTCCATGATAGAAGGTCATTCAATATTCAAACAATAAAACAGTCGTCTGACGATGATAACTAGTAAGTGGGATAAATTCTGGAAATATTTGACGACTACTGACACAATCTTGGAAATAACAGATGCATTGGTAAGTGCAAAGAGCTTTTTAAAGGAGAATAATAACACAAACTAGCAAAAATGCTTGCGGAATATTCTAAATAATATTAAAAATTTATGCTAATCGTTTTTTCTCGTTCCTCCTTGTTCAAAGCTTATCAAAGCTTTGTTAACTTGAATAATGTTAAAAACCCAAGCGGGAAACAATACAGTGACCACTGATATGGCCAGTGTTTTGAAAAAAAACAAGCCCTCTGATTTGCTTAAGGCACCAAAAATACAGCTCACTCCTATTGACTATTACGCGAATTCGTTCAATAACTCATCACACCAGTGACGTTGTCGCGCGTCATTCTGCCACCGGGTGAAGGTAACGTGGTGATGCGATGTGATTTATTTGGACGTCAAAAATAGTGCAGATTATACTATGTGATAATTCGGGTGCTACATTGTTACCTGTTGTGCTCACGAGCGAAGATTATGTGCATACTGCTCAGACCTAGGAATAGGTTCGCTCGAATGTCGCCGGCCGTGAATGATGCGGAACATCTCTCCTTACGACGACATTTTGACTGATCGAATGGCAAAACAACCTGGAAGTCGTCAAAAGTAGGAATAAAATCCAATAAGCATTCAATGACAGTAAACGTATGAGCGAAACATATGAGCAGAGAGCTGTATATGGTAATTTCATTTTTCTTCGACGGGCTTTCACCTGCAGCTAAAATTCGTAGTTTTCCTGCCCGTTTGAAAAAATTTCATTTTAATACATAAAAGACAGATCAGTTTCATCAATGGAATCGTAAAAATTTTATAAAAGAAAAAGTATTTTATAACCTATCGGATTTTTGGGAATATCAAACTGAAGAAAGACTATCATCCATTTTACCTGGAACGCTTCAACTCACTAATTGTTTATAGAAAAAACTGGTTTACATTCTAAATTATTGTAGGAGGGAAGACTGAGGATTTTCGGAAGTATACCAGGATATTCCTCTACTGGCTAGGCTAATTTTTTAAGCATTCACTACTATTATTAACATATACCAAACTACGCCTAATTTGTGTGACGGCCGCCGCATCGGAAGGCGCCTAATTTTTTGCCGCCCACTGTGTTCAATGAAAAAGTCGTTAAAAAAAAGATTTCCATGAATGGAAATTACTAAGTGTAGGCAAGAGATTTTGAATGACGCCTGCCACAGTATCTATGTGAAATATACTATTGATTGAATACAAGGAGTACTGTGCTAAAACTCAAAGAGGGGAAATATGCATTGAAAACAATTCATAGGGTTACTTATGCACTATTGAAATTATCCACAATCAACAAGCTAGTACCTGATTATTGAATCGGCTCATTTTAAGCATTCCTGTTCGTCCGTCTCGAAATTTATGCAAATCCTTCAGTGATGAGCCGTAAATCATCGAACCGTCAATGTAGGCGGTATTCTCATTCATTTGCTCTCTCGGGCTGAGATCACAGATTGGTGCCGATCTCGACACTTTCAGGCATCTCCTCTGCTTAAATCTAAAATATAATCATGCTTATAGTAGAAGTAACACACAAGTTTTATTACTTTATAAATACAGTACACTATAAAAAGTGGTCAAATTCCACAGAAAACAGACTGATATTACGATGAAATTTCACTCATATAAATATTGACGAGCCAGTAGTTTTTAGCCCTCGACCACTCTATTCTCTTATTAATCGGAATCACGTTTGTAGAAAAAATTTCTAACCTATCGATCACTTTCCGACTATTTTCTAGGCAACACAGGAACGGAAACCTAATGTGTTCACTCTCGATCGTCCGCTTTCATTCTCCACTTCCCTATTTAGTCCTTTCTATTTAGATGTATCTCCCTATTTGATTAATTGGTTGTCTTTTGTATTTGATTTTCAACATTTTTATACTGACAGCTGCTGAGTCGTACGAACTATTTCCCATGTGTTCTAGTTAACCGGTGAATTACAGTAATCGCAATGAAGAGTTTTTCTATCGCACCCTTATCATTTACAAAGATGATCTGTGGTTTAAAACACTTACAGAGATGATACAAAACACTTACAAAGCCTTAATGTATTATATGACAGCCGGTCAGTTTAAAGACTTCATCACTGAGACAACTAGACGCTTACCAACCACGAACTTCAAAAACCGTTGAGATAGCACAACTATGGTTAACAAACAGATTTCTTTGATACTAACTTTATACATCGGACATCCAGACATTCTTTTCTTTTCATAAAACTCAAATCACCTTTTTGACTGAGAATGCGTTGGGTTAACAATTAGTTTTTTCCCAGAGAATTAAATCTAAGTGCGACCAAACTAAAGTATTTTCAGTATTATACTAACTGACGTCGGATTCGGATCCCTCGGAGCGATGGGAATTGACATACATCTTGATTTCACTGCTGCACATGAAATGCATGAAGCTGACGGTTGTAGTGTCGTCTTCGCCATGTCGTGAGACATGAACTGACCCCATTGCATCATCATATTGTTGTACTGCAAACCAGAGATTTTTTTAAATAGAAAAATACTTTTATCGATCAATCGGCTATTCCCGCAATGATTTTCTAAGTCGTTTGATCTCCATCAAACACCTGATCTTGCTGGCGAAGTTCGAAAACAATGGTTTTAGTGGACTTGGAAAAAACACAACTCGCTAGGTTTTACAAATGGTAGAGCGTTAGACGTTGAGCAGTTCCATACTAATACACCATGCATTCTACTGCATTCGTAGCATCGCACAGGTGACCGAGTGCATTGTTGGCCTATAGAACGACTTGCTATAGCTCACTGATGTGCCGAGTAAGTGCTCAGATACTTAAATCAGGCAAGTTATATACCAATATGTAAACACCAAAATGGTGGAGGATGTGATTTACCAGCGGCGTAGGATCGAACGAAAGCGCTGTTGTGTAATGCTGACCACCATTAACCACTGTGCCACATATTCCCAAACAAACGAGGAAGAAACAAAGATTTGTAAAGAAGAGATTTCGTTCAATCTATGATTTTTCCGGAACTAACCTTATCGTGAACAACACTTTGTGGCGATGACAGCATAATGCGATTGGATTCACGAGCTGTCGGACGCGAAACGGTTATCGAAGCTTAAAAAAGGCGAGACGATAGAAGAAATGAATAGCAATAATTTTAAATCACATTTTCTTAGTCCATCAATCAATGATTAAAATTCTTAATGTAACGGTAAATACAGCGGTTATTACCAGTCACGCTCGTTAACACATCTTAATAGATAGCACACCCCCTGAGCTAAGCAGTGAGATAATGATAAGTTGACACAAAAGTTTGTAGTGAAATCCATGCATAAACGCGGATAATCCTGTCAGAAATTTCTATAGATCACTCGATAAAAGAGTGGTCAAGGCGGGTCATAACTGTTTAAATCAACAAACAACATGTCCGTTATATCACAGCATACATAAGGATCGAAAATAAAATGTTACAAGACCTAGAGTCGTCACTACTGGCCTTATTACGGATTGACTGTTAACTTTTACCATTGTTATTGCATTTGCTACTGTTATCAACGTTTAGCAAAAAGGCTGGTTTTTCGACAGCTGACGATAGTTTCTCGATCACGAGAGTATTTCAGTACTTCAGGACTACCAATTCATACAATCGACTTTGCTCTGTTGTACTAACTGTCTAGTGCCTCTTATACAGTGTCTCTTTCAATTTAAATATGATTAGAATCAGTAACTTTGAATTAGAATTTTAAGGAATGAAGATCAAATTTGAAAGTTCTGAAGTCTGCAACCTCCCAACGGTTTACAGCGTCATCGTGGCTGGGAGCTGTTGCTGAGTGTCGGGCTGCGATGTGCAGCGGGAGACTCATCCCCTGTCTCCCAAACCGAGGAGGAGGCCGGTGTTTCCATCAGAAAGCCTAGCCAGGAGTAAACCAATACCAGGATCCACTACCGTCCTCGTATCAAAGTCGCATGGTGGTGAATCTCCCTCTGATCCACAAGAGCTGCGACTGCCTGTGGTGGTGAACACCTTGGGCAGACTTTGACCAGGCTGACCTCGAGATTCCAGAGAACCACAATGGCTTACCCACCAAATTTCCGAAAAGTGGAGATTATGCTGGGGTCCGCACAACTAGTGAGGACGGATGGTTCGAGTATCAAGTACCAAGTAAAGTCTGCAACAAGAGAGGGGAAGTTACGAGCAAGAATGATACATTATGGAACACTATTGGGTTTTGCTGGATAAAATCCCGTTTGTCGACTTGCTTTTGTGTTCCAAATATAAACGTTAGTGTTAAAAGTGGATGGAAAAAATGCTATGGGCTGCAGAAAATCAGAGTCTACGCGTAGTAAAAGAGAAAGCTTTGCGCTTAATGCAAAGATTCACAGATTGATCGTTTGTGCCATAATTAATAAGATTCACTATGGGCTGAGGCACATTGATCAATGTAAAAACCGGCTACCACTTTCGCATTTCATGACTCCCATAGAGCTCACATCGTCGCGTAGAAGTTGGTCGGCACTCGAAACGCATTTCATTCTGGTCATGGCGTGACGTCACCACGAGGAAAACACACCGCAATCGAATATACCAAAAGATTCTCACGAAACGAAAGAAAAAACCCTTTGATCGATTTATGCAAATAATCAGGACAGAAATTTTCTGCTCATTTCAGTTCAAAACGAGAAAATGCAGAAACGAAAAAAAAAGAACGAAACTGCTCTTACGGCTGACCATGAAATGTTTCAAGCACTCTGTTACGTGATATCGAATACGTTTGCATTTATAACCTTTCATCAGAAAAATTTGAAAAACGGCGAAGGAAGGCTTGAGCCTATGGAACTATCCAATTGCGCTAACTCCAACAATATTGTTTAAAATAGTGCGCTGTCATCAATATTTATTGAATTTTCAAAAATGAAAATAAAGGCCAATTATTTTCCCACGCATAAAAAAAAAATAGGATACTTGGATGGTCCGTCCTCACTGATTGTGCGGACCCCAGCATATTCTCCACTTTTCGGACTTTTGTTGGTTTAGCCATTGTAGCTCCCCGGAGTGCTGAGGTCAACCTAGCCAAGTCTGCCTTTGGGTCGTCACCACCACAAGCAGTCGCCGCCCTTGTGGATCAGAGGGAGACTTGTCACCATGCCACTAGCTTGGAACCAGGACGGTGACGGATCCTGGTCTTAGTTTACTCTTAACTGGGATTCCTGATGAAAATAGGATGTGTAGTTACAACTAGCAATAATACTAACGTTTTTTCTTTTCGTTTTTACATTATCAGTTTTACATTTTGTTTCTTCCGACAGTTTCATTCTTTTTTAAGACTTTTCGGAGTCGTGTTGCCAATTTTGATCTCAAATTCGTAGATTTCTGGGAAAAAAACGCCCTTTTTCAGTCTAATACCGTAAACGATAAGAAACCATAATTAAACGCCTACGCATACAAAACTATTTACGGTTCACTTATTATATGCTTACAAGCTTTTGTGAAATACACGCTGAATCAAAATCTAATGAATTCTCAGAGAAAATAAAAACCTTTGCAAATCTGAAAGCGAAAAAGTTTTCCAAGATGTCAACTGATACTTTTTATGCTCTGGTATTTTTTCGTTGCTCTAAAAAACGTCGACGACCACGATTTTATAATGATGACGACAAAAACTGATGGAAGTCATTCCTAACATAAACCATAGCTCTATAAATAAATAAAAATTAATGAAGCAGACGAATCGGAACTCACAGACAGGTTCGCCTATTCCGTCATCGTAGCGTGGTGGAAAATGTCTGTAATTACGGACTTTAGGATACGACAAGGATGGAAAACCACTGATAACACCACTACCTATTCCATATACGATGAAAAAAAAGAAAATGCACTCAAGGCTACAAAAGCGAATACTATCTATAAATAACACCTTATGTACGGTCGAAATGCAGCGCCTAGCATTGGTCTTTTGAGATTATTGCAGGTGCCGTCCAATGTTCTGAACATCAAGTGGTAGCAAAGATTCTTCCGACAATCAACACCATCTGATTTTAACTGAAAATATTTTAGTATTTGCTTACAAGTTCGTTTAAGCGGTTCCAAACTTTCCAATCACTTTGTACTTATGAAGCAGTTTTAACGCATTTAATCACCTAGCTCGACTCGAAAGCAGTTAGATTTTAAGTTAGTTCTACCTGGCTTAATCTGTTGTCCATATGATTTCTTAACCTGTTAAAGTAAAGGAAGGCAAATTATTTACTTGCTAGTGTAATCGATGTTCATGTGAACTTATTGATTTCCTCTACTTCAGATCAAATGGTAAACCACCGCTAAGAACGAGAACCAGTCGGACTGTTGGTATTTTTCACAATAAAAACATAGAAGAATCATAATTTTCAATGGGGAAAAAACAGAAACAAGAAAAGGAAAGCGAAAAAATCGACAAACGATCAGTATAAACATGTTATTTACAGAATTTATTTTTCCCGAAAGTCCTATTCAGCTTCGCTTCTCTTCAATCAACTTCCTTAGTAATTGACAGCAAAGAAAAAAGAACTGGTCGGAAACATATGGGAACTACAGCTCGCATCTTCCTCGGAGGAATTTCCTTCAACCATTGAACTATTTTGTGATTTATCAAGAATTCTATGAAACGCCAACAAAAGTTAGATGGGATTCAGCACTATGTGCTGCCTTGCTAAGAAAAGCTGACCGATCGATAAAAAATCGATAATGTTGGATGAATGATGAAGATGTCGGAACGTATATCACAAATGGGTCAGCTACTTGAAGATATTCATCGTTTTCGTTGTAAGTTCATCAACGCCTATGACGTGCTTTATAGTTTTTACAAGAATTCACGCTCCCTTTTATCATTTCTTCCATTAGGGCTTTCTGAATCTGAATATTTGACATATTCCATTATCCGTGCTGTTACGTGATCCTTTAACGGTCGGTCAACTAATCGTGTGATTCACTACCGCAACAGGGATCGTTGTCATCTTAGCAGAATCTGAGGACAGCAAGGCGTTATCCTATAAAAGAAGACTAATAATTTCTTGTGGTGAAGAGAAAGGAATGCTCCATCTTGGCTATCTTGAAAATCCAGAGAAATTCTCGACCACAATTCAACAAATCAATGTGGAAATCAGATAGCAGTCAATTTGCAACCAACTCCATACACTAATCCGACCACCTGCGTGTATGTCGGTCATAGAAAAACGAAAAAAACTGGGGAAAGACGGAGCATCTGAGAATGTATGTGCTCTGTTCATGCATGAGTCTGTAGCTTTTCTTTTTCGTTTTCGAGCGGCAAACCACTTAACTGGGTTCGACTCGATGCGACTGCGAACACCTACATCGCTAGGACAAACGGCTGTGAACAATCGACATGGACTATGCCAGCCCTGAAGAAAAAGGTGCTGAAACGTTGGCCGAATAAAGGTTTTATAACAACCTTATGTTAGTTTAATAGTGTGGAAAAGTGTTGAGTCTGTAACGACGGTGCCAGTGAAAACCCTTCTCTACTCTATGAACCGTTCATTTCTCACTTGAACAAGAATGGCCTTTTTCAGGAACAGAAGACCAGAATGCTTCATATGATTGCGTTATTTAATGTTCCATGAAAGCAGAGTGCTTCCTCATTAACGGCAGGCACTAAAGAATCACATTGTACTTTCTACGATCTTCAACACTGTTGCTCTGGAATGGCTAAAGTGAATCATTTACGGTAGTTTCTATGAAATTTGAACCACAGTTAAGTGACGAAGAAAAAGTGATTCTTAATGGGCAGTGGATGCTTAACGTTTTCGTTTAGCGTGCGTAACTTGTCGATCAGTGGCACATCAAGTAACGCTAGGAACATGGTCCACGTCTATTCCTTTCTATACCAAGAAAGAGTTGAAAACACTTGCAGTATGCGATGCAATCTTCTGACAGCATAGATGTGTACCTGGAGAACAGGGATGAAAAAAAGTACTGGACGAGTTATAGAATGGTTTCTGGACATCGCACATATCGCAGACGAGAATGTCATGAAAATCCACGAAAACCCATGAAATCTTCAAATGCTAAGCAAGCATCTCTTATCAGCGAGGTACACGTACAGTTCAACACGCCATTTATTTCATAGATTTCTTCATTTGCTAATAACTCGAATGGTCGGACTCCAATTAACTTCTTCATTAATAAACCTATGCGTCTCACAACCTATCCTTTGCTTTTTTGAGTTGACACAAGATTGCTAACATTCTTCATTTTTCATTTATTCTTTATTTCCGACCGGTTTTCTTTTTTGATAACGCGTTTCTTTTTGGAACAGTTAAAGGAATAACATATTATTATTGCAAGTTACTGCGTGTTGAATGATAACATCTATTCCAGAATTGCTAGAGTCTTCAGCAATTTCACATTCTTCGGAGCAGCACATTCTGTTGGTCACTTTTTCTTATTAGGAGATGAGACCACACCCTTACAGAGTTCACATAAGATGAGGAATGTGACCGTTTCAGTTTATACAATTAATCTTTGGTATAGGTCTAGGTCACATTCTTCCGCGGCTCCTTGCCTTCTGCGAGCTCCGACTGGACGAACTGACTTCCAAAAAGTGGTGGAAAACATTAAAATGGCTCCAACGTAGGTGAAGTTTGTAAAAAAGTGAAGGATAGTGCAACAGATATTGCTGCAGGAATCTTGTGCCTGTACATCAAAACCACCCAGTGCCAAGACCAATTGAGAATCGGTTTTAGGAAATATTGTTATATGTAAGCTAATTCAATAAGAAACCATACCGCTTAGAGTTCGTTACCAATAGCCTTATTTGACCATAGCCAGTAGAAAGCAAGTATCAGGTTAGCTAATCATAGTTGCCTATTATTCAACAATCATTTTCCGATTGAAGTAAGTACCGTGTCATTAAAGCCATCATCTGCTTGAAAGTTGTCGTTGCCCTTCATTGTTCATCAGGCGCTTCAGCTTAGCTTAATTTTCTCTTTTCCACATTGCACATGCTCATTCGAATTCCAGAACACGTCAATAACACATGAAAGTGAATACATAAGGCTTCTGCGACTTTCTTTTCTGGTCGTATTACAATATTGAGTTTAACAAGAAGACGTGAAGTAGGACAATCTGATGTGGAGCTCAGAAACTTTAAAAAATAAAGGCTACAGAGGGTTTTAGCCCATTGCCTTCTCACTGGCGCACATTGTTGCACTCTGAATCCGGTTTGATAGTGAAGATGAATACCTTCGGTGTTCAATGATTTGACTGATCGTGAAGGTAAGTGATGTCAAAACGCTTCTCCTAGAGTGTCGGAGAAACGCTGCATGCTGCGGTATCCACCAACGCAGTCTCTGATTGTCACCTTCTTAATCTTAGTAAATGTGAGGTTTGACACCGCTACGCTCTTTTATGGTGAATGTGCGAATGATAGAGTTGACAATGGCTTGTTTTACAGCCATGATGTTCGCGACCCATTGGTAAAACATTTTGGGTAGATTGTGACTGGATAGATAGATTTTAGATTTTTCATTGTGGTTGTATCACACATAATAACCTGCAGTGAAAAATTGTAATAGGCAATAAATAAAAAGTTAACATTGTGATTTCGACTACAGCCTCTGCTTAACTGGGTTCATAGCCGATTTGGGTTTCTCGGATCAATCCCGTTGAAAGGTGATTGCTGATGGCACGGATCCATAGAACTGATTGAGAGAAAGGCGAGACGAAGGACCCGCATGGTGCAGTGGTGAACGCGTTAGATTGCGAAAAGGGCATTAGCGCGTTCGTTCCCCACCGCAGGTACCTGCAGTGCCAAGTTTTACAAATATCTCAGCATCATTTTGGATAGAATTACAAACTTCAACAACCTGCTGACGAGAGACATTACTGGAATGATATCTACGGTTGAAAAGCGAATGCGCATAAAATCAATGCGGGTATGGAGAATTACCGATAAGCAAAGTGTAAAAACCTTGTGTAAGCTACGAAGTGGTTTGTGCAAGTGATCAACTGAAATACCCTGCGTTGTATTTCCTTTCCCCGTGGGAAAATTCGACACGATTCGAATCTTAAGGTCAGGTTCCTTCCTTCCCATTACTTATTACAACACATATTAAAAAATAGAACTAAGCACGATGAAAATTGCCTTTCTTCTCACTGCATTGTTGATTTACTGGGTCGATAACGTGACCTGACACAAAGCGCGCCGCATTCCTACTTTTGTCCCGCTTCTTGTGCGGTGACTAAGCCACACTTATCGCCTCCAAATCTGACGCAACCGTCCGACAGAACCGTCCCGATGTACAGCCGAAAACCCGATAACATGATAGATCCGATAAAATTCCCTTTTTTTAAAAGGAAATCCTTGATTAGAAATAAAAACTGTACTCGGAACCTCAGATGTACTTCGAACTCGTGGTTAACCTCTCAATCACAATTCGCATTGGCGAGTAATTGCTGATAGAGCCGTTAGCGCAAAGAAAACTGGATGGGAGAAAAGAAAACCAAGGGCCTCTGTTGGTGGGGCGGATAACGCGTAAGCCTCCAGGAAGAGTAATCGTGGATTCGAAGCCCTGCTAAGGTTCGGAATTTTCTTTATATCTTAGCATCCTTGTGGTTCTACGACACACAATACCCTGACATAAGAATAGGTATAAGTAGCAAATAAAAGTTAGAAGGCTCCGAAATACTATAGTGTTCCAGCTTTTACTAATGAGTTCAACGAACATTTTTCCGTGACCCTGTGCGTTTCACGTAGATTTCAGATGTTCGTTGTCGCCAAAGGAAGCGGTGAGGCTCAAAATACCTATATTTAGTGCGATTTATAAATAGACGGTTACAAAAGTTATAAATAGACGAAAGAAATGAGAAAGACTTGGACAAGTGTCTTTTTAAAATTTCGCCATAAAAAGAAGGATTTTCCAGTTTGTCCAGTCGATCTTATAAATCAAGTGCAAAAATCGAAGAATGAGGCAAAACAAAAGTGGATATCAAAGAATTAAACAAAAGTCTCTTAGTGATCTTCAATTAAGCCCTGAAAAACTTCCCAGATATCCTCGTTTTTTGTCAAAGTAGAGAAGACAGTGAAATTTTGTCATGAACCTTAATATACTAAACTAACCACTAGGTAGTGACTACTTGACCATGAAATCGAAGGCCGAAGGGTTCAATTCAACAACATAACTCAACACAACGGTGACGATGTGAGTTATATATGAATCACAAACCATGGGGTTATATTTGTTTGCCTGCTTATACGTCACAGTAGTTGTTTATTATTCTCAAACCTTTACAAAAATGAAGACTGTTATAATGACGTATACTGCCGCCAAATTAAAGAGAAAAAATCGATAATGGATAAAAAAGAATTCAGCTGCTAGAACACACACCTGTGGTATGCATCCTTTCGGTATGCTTTTGCTGATATCGTCAATGGAAAGCAACTGTCGCCCAAAAGTCTCCTCAGCGCTGTTCACAAGATTCGAGGCGATCATCAACTGAAGGATTTGCCTGTACTCTTTTTTTCATTTATTTGATTCTATTTTTCTCAGCTTCCTTTCCTCCTAATTCTTTAGCTACTTATTCATGCGACTTCATTAGTAGGCTACGACTACTTATTCATTAGTAGGTGTTTAAGTCTTTATTCGTTTATTTTTAAGGAATATGAGACACCTGACGTGCGTGGATATTTCAGAAATACAGAGAGAACAGCTCAGTGTTCCAAAGGAAAAAACAAATTTTCTAAAATCAGTAACAAATCAACCGATATGCCTCAAAATCCTGCGCAGTATAGTTAACTATTCAAAAAGGCAAAAATCGTAGTGGTCAAAAATATTAGTGGGAAGATACGGCGAAATTTTGACAGTCCTAATATTAATATGATTAACCACCTTTGTTCCAACACAAAAATAACCCTTTAACCTAAGGTAGCACCTAACCTAAGAACCTTTAATCAGCCATTCTTCTGACTTCATTTTCGAAGGAAGTTAGTGCCTAACCTAAGTACCATTAAGCGGCCATTCTTCTTGGTTCACTTTTTATAGCAGGATTTTCGAATACTTGGTGTAATAAGTAAAAAGAAACAAACATAGAAAAAAGAACACCTGCTCTGCAACTAATATGTTGTTCACAAATGTTTGATGCTGAAAGAAACAATAAAGAGATAAAATTGTTGAGCGGCTGTGAAGTGCGAACATCATCAGACATTCGATGGATAAAAATATCTGCTCTGACGAAGGCGAAGCCGTCGAAACGTTAACCGAGTACAGCTAATTCATCTACCCCGTTCAAGCTCAATAATTCGAACACGTGTTGATTATTCGATTAATATTCGAAAAATCGATCAGACAACGGTATTCAAATGCTCACCTCAGCCGCATGACCAATATGCTTTTGAACGTCTTCACATCTTTTCAGATTCTCCTCGTCGATCTTCTCTAGATGAACCGGTTCAGAAGTCACCGATGTCTCTAGCGTTGGCGACGAGGCTGTCGTGCCTGCCGTAGTCCTCGAACTCGTGCCGCCTGGTACTTGAAAAAAGAGCGGTTTCTAAGAAATAAATATTTTCCTAGACAATGTCATAAGAAAGAAGCAATAGGAAAGCTATTATGTTACAGAGAAATATTCAAACCAAACGCTTTCAAGTAGGAGCAAACATCAAAAATTTCTAGAAAAATATACCGGAAATTCAACATGTCTAATTACAAAGCAAAATAGTTCCACTCGTGACAGCACGGCCCTGAGGAGGGCGAAATCGCCGAAACGTCGGCCATCGACGAACAACAACAACAATGACAACGACAACTTATACCAAACTCGCATCAATTCAACGAGATCAGCTCATAAGGACATATAAATAAATTTCCAATTACATTTGATACTTTGCTATGACGCCACTTATCAAGATGACGTCGTCTTGTTATGAAAAAATAAAGCTCAAACCGACACTTGCTTAGTATGCTTCTGCGAGCAGACCTGTGATCTAAGGTGGCGTTTCATTTTTTCAACTCGACCAACTCAGTTAAAAATAAGCTTCAAATCTCCTTATTCGAAAGCTCATGTAAGAATAAATCGATGATTCCAGGGATTAACACTGTCCCCATAGCAACCTCGACACGTGATGGAAATCTTCCCTTCGATCCACAAATCCAAACGACAACTCGCGATGGCAATCTGGGAAAGCCCGACAGTCTCAAAACTAGAGGTAAAGAAAATCTTGTCCAATCGGTAAAATACCGATCAAAGAGGATACGTGGTAGGATTAGCATTATTACTCGTGAAGTGGTGTATGAAAACTATCTAATTCAGCCGGTGTATTATATTAATTTAATTATGATGCCATCTGGTGCGTGATACTACTCTGTGGAAGAACAACAACACAAGATTAGTGGCATCTTCTTCTTGTTCCATACGAAACGATGAACTTAACGCTTAAGAAATCAAGTGAAGAACGCAGTTACATACATACAGCGAACGACGAAGACACCACATCGAGAGGACGAATGACTATGGACAATCGACTCGGATCCTCAGCTCTGATGAGGACGAAAGCGTCGAAGCGTTAGCTGAATAAAAGTTATCCTGGTTTAAGCGGAAGAATTCAAAGATATTTATTCATTATTCACGCCGAGGTTAAGTGAAAGTCTGTTTGGTAAGGCATTTAGATGAATTTGTAACATGCAGTTGAAGATACCATCTTAAGGCCTTAGTGACAGTCCTTTTTAGTCAATTGCAAACAGCAAGCAACTGCTGGTGTGAGTCAGCCGAGTTGTTCATTTTGCTACAACATTCATCATGACGATTTGATCGCGACGATCGTCGACGATTTTCGAGTTCTCAGACGAACAAAAAAAAGGACCCAAAACAGGAATCAAATCCACCAACATGATGCAATGTTAACAATTTTACGCTTATCATTGATGAATACCGTCATGCTAGTCATCGTTGATAAACCAAATGGAAGGAAAATTGTAGGCATTTTAAAATTCCAAAGAAATATTAGCACAGAATTACTATAAAACATAACGACGACTTGGTAATGAGACACGAGTTACCTCATCAAAGAACTTTATGGTTCTCCGAAGAAAAAACTTGATAGGAATTCTACTTAATGATTTCATTTAAATTTTGGATTTTTTTAGCGTACCTTGTTATTAGCGCACTACTTATCGTATCAAAGCGGGACCTGAGTACTGCCTGTAAGAAAATTGGAATACGAAAGAGAAAAAGAATAAAAGGTAGGAAATAAACAGAAAGAGCTCCTTGGAGCACGGGAAGTGAGGAAGAGGAGATGGAGAATGAGAAGAGCGAGAGAAGGAGAGATAAAGATTTATAAACGGGAAAAAGTAGAAAGAGGAACCTGACACATCTGTAGAAAAAAAGTTCCATCTGAACGTTTAATGGACTTATTCAATGAATCTGTCAATAAACATTCGAGAATTCTTTGGCATTTTATTGGCGCATTACTTTCTTTGCCAATTAATTACCGATCAAGCCATGATCGTCTGGAACTCTTCCCCTTTTCTTGTTCAATCGCTTCGTTGCCTTTTGAACGTAACGCTTCTTCATTGCCATCTGATCATTTCCTAATAGATCTAGACAACTGAAATTCGTGTTAAAAAACTTCTGACGAACCATGATAGAACCACAAGCTCTCCAGTCCTCTTCCGAAGTTATTGGAAAACTATCTGAGGAGCTGCTGAATAGTTGTTAGAAAACTCCCAACAGCCCTAAGCCTGTAGTCATCCATGAATCCTTTGAAATCAATGTGCATTTTTTGCACACGAAGCAAAGAATTCCAACAAAATGACGACAATGAAAGTATTTTTGAGTGAAATGACAGGGTAGTGTTGTGCAAAGCTTAGCCAACATAAGTAGATGCATTTATAAATATGACACAAATGCGAGTGTATATAAACATAAACGCATGGAAAGATATGTGAGTCATATATGTTTCATGGGATAGTTTTTTTTTGCTGATAAAATCTCTTGGGCTGTTGTTATTCTTGGAAAATAAGTGACGTAATAGTGAACTAAATGCTAAACGTTTTAAAAAAAATCACCACTTCTGCTAATTTTGTTGTTACTAGCAATAACATATTAATAGTCCCTGTTATCACAAGCACCAGCATAATAAGCGCAGCGATAACAACTTGTTCGCCTATTTTTTTTATCATTTTGTAAGAAAAATCATTTAGAGTTTCGGCCATATTTTTACTAATGGGTGGTTATACACACATTACTTTCCCTATTCGTGGAATTTCATTGTTTCGAGCTACGACGTACAGAGGTGAAATCAATCTCCTTGGCAGGGCCTCCCAACTTGAGGAGGAGTCCGGCGTTTCCATCTAGAAGCCTAGCTAAAAGTAAATCAATACTAGGATTTACCACCGTTTTGGTATTAAAGTCTTACGGTGGCAAATCTCCTTCTGATCCACAAGGGCTACGACTGCCTGTGCTGGTGAAGACCCGGGGCAGACTTTGGCCAGCCTAACCTCGGGATTCGAAGGAAGCACAATGGCTTAATGAACAAATCTCCGAAAAATTGAGATTATGTGGGGCTCGCACAACAAATGAAGACGGGTCGGGTCATTCAAGTATCAAGTATCAAGTATCAACTATTGTTGGAATTTTGGGAGGTTAGCAGCACTGGCTCGATACATCGTTAGGCCACGGCGAGTCATTGTAAAGGCCAGACATGCATTCAATCACCTCTAACACTGCCTAGTGAAGTCGAATACATGACGCATCCTTCAAGGACTGATCCACGTCGACAGCTTTATTTTCTTTTAGCTTCGTTTTTAAAATTATTAAAATATTACTGTTACTTATCATTCTCCGAAAGATTTACGTACTGATCGCGGCTGGAAAGTGTTTTTCGACGGATTGATCTCACACTGGCTTTTCGTAAGCTAGCTCGAAAGAGCATATATAGATATAGAGCTAGAGCATATATAGAAGAGCTAACATATATAGAAGTAGTTCGAAATTTTTACCTAGAAGCTCAGCTAAGAGCAAATAAGTGCCAGAAATTACTACAATCCCGGTAACGAAATTGTTATTAGCTAGCAAATATGATGATTTGGAATGCTCTAGCACTACTTTCGAGTCTACAGGGAAAGAGATTACGCAGAACCAGCAAATTACCAGGCAGATGGAAATTGTGGAAGGGCTCTTACATATCTTTGTAAAGCCAAAAAATTTAAGTCTTTAAGTAAGTTAAAATTTATGTAGAAGGTTAAGGTGTTTTTTCGACAGCTAATACAACATACGTCTATGTTGTAGATTTGGTTCAAGTTGGACTAAAAAGGCACAGTTAGCGGATTTTCTTGACACTATAAAGATGTATAGCCTAAAACGTTAAAACATTCGAACTGATCGATTGTAGGGAACATCTACAAGGTCTAGGAGTCCTAATGTTATTCTCCGAGCTAGCACATTCGCGAATATTGTTTTTTCGCCGGATAGACTACGCATTTAACTCAATGCATATCGT